AGGTCTGATTTTCTATTGATAAGAATATCTAAGAATGGCAGGTTATTATCAGCTTCCAACTCAATGGTAAAACGTATGTTAGGGTGTATCGAGTTTAAATGTCTAAGAAAATCTACTAGGGTTTCTTGACCACGAGGCCAAATAACAAAAGTATAATCGACGTAGCGTTTCCATAATTTTGGTTTTAGATGAAACGTGTAGAGAGCTTTCTTCTCAAAGGCTTCCATAAATATATTCGCGATGACTGGTGATAGTGGAGAACCCATAGCTGCTCCCGACGTTTGTTCAAAAATTTGCCCGTTATAAGAAAAATATGTTCCCGATAAGTATTTTTCAATTAAGGTGAGAAGGTTTGGTTCCAGATTCTCGGATTTTAATATATCTGAAATGATGTCGAGAGTTTCAGGAATGGTAAAGAGGGATTCTACGTCGAAACTAACTAGAATATCTTGTTTATCTTATGTAAGGCTTTTTAATTGTTCAATGACGTGAAAGGAATTAAGTACGAAACTGTCAGTTTTCGCTGTAAGGGGTTTTAATAAGGAAGATAGATATTTTGCTAGAAAATACGTTGGAGAACCAATGGTGCTGACAATAGGTCGAAGGAGTAACCCTGGTTTGTGAATCTTGAAGAAACGTCAGCAATTTCGACTAAACAAAAACCGACGCAGGAGGAATCCAGAAGTTTTGTAAAAAGCATTACAATAGAGTGTGGAAGTTTCTTTAAAAAATTAAATAGGTAATTTCTAATTTTGCGAAAAAATTTTTTTTTTCTTAATTTATAAATTCTGTCTTTCTTAGAGCCCAAAATATTATCTATTAGTTCTCTCAATTTGGTGTTAGTTGTTTGACTTGCAACTCAACCATGAATTTTGCGATGGATAAATGGTTGTCATGATTTTCGTAATGTTAGGGTTTTTTTTGGAACTATTCGCAATATGTTATTATCTGACAGAATTATACTTAATTCGTCTGTGTAAACTTTTCACGTTTACTTTGTTCTCGATCTTTTGTGATATTTGAAAATTGTCAGTATTGTCTTCGAAAAAATAAGTACACCCCAAAAGTTAGGTATGCTTAATAAAATTGAAAGAGCATTAATATGAGTAATTAATAGAAGTACAGTATACAGGGTGCTCCATTAGATTCTGTCAATAAAATTAATATTTTTCATTTGAACTCACCCTGTATAAACGATTCGAACTAACTTCGAGTGTACGATAAATGACTGTGCCACTTTATAAAATTCTTGGCATAATAAAATTACACTCAGTATAGACCATAACTACTCTACATTGGGTGATTGAGTATAAAAGGGAGTATCTATGAATGCCATAATTCACATGAAATATATATAAGTTTGGTTTTCCATATATTTATGAATCGCCCTGTATATTTGAAAAAATAAATAAATTGTTTCTTTTAATCTCATCAATAACTTGTGTATTTAACATTTTTCTCTAAAACAAATAATAAATGAGATAGATTTGTCACACTATTTGGACACCCTGTATAGGTATATACTCTAGTAAACTCAGACCAGAAATATAGTGCTTTTACAACCGACTCCGTGAATAACTTTGCCTACTGTTTATTACTATAAAACCGCAGCCCCTTATAGAACACCCTCACAAGCAAACCCTTACGCGTAACCATTCCGACCGTCCTAGGAATCAGACCCTTGCCCGTTACTATTCTAACTACACTAACAAGCGGGATATCAATCTTTTCCGCCGAGCAATTCTTGAAAAATGTACATAAAAAAATGAGTATAAAGTAACAATTTATTACGTTCTATTTAGTTACATTTCCACATAGTATCATTATTAATATACAAAATATTAAATATAATATTAATAAAGTATCAGCCAGTTAATCATCTCAATCGGGTTAAATACACAATGATACGGCAGTAATCTTAAGATTTCATGTTCGTGCTATCGAATCGATTTTGTAGTCTTTATTAAAATCTTTTAGTTTTAATAATTCCAGAAGTTGTTTTTTCGTCTAGCTGTCTTTAAAATATATATCATTTTGGAACAAACATTCTATAATTTCTTCTTTACTTGAAGAAGCATTTTGAATTTTTCTAATTTGGGCTGAATGATACGCGGCATTATCCAACACAATAACAGTATTTGGCGATAGTTTTGGCAACAATTTATTATCAAACCGGTCCTCAAATATTTCCGCGATCATGTTTTCATGGTAATCCACACTTGAATCTTTGGTCATGTCACTTGTTTTTATTGCTGCTCCTACTTCCCCCTCTGAACGTCTTATAAAATTATAAACATTCATAACAATTTGTTTAGTAACCGAAAGACAAATGGATCCGTTTTTTTATTTGCCGAGGTAGTTCGTCTTCTAAATTGTCATTAGTTTCGACTACCATTCTCACTTCGTCTTCAAATTTTGCGTTGTTTTCCATGTCTTCTTCAAAAGGGGAACATCTGCTTCATTCCACAGTCTGTTAAAAAATTGAAACCTTCAAAAAATATTTATGTAAGATTCCAATAAATATTTATCTGTATTCTTATGGCGTACCTTTATCTTCCGCGAATATAATCTATAGTCTTAAAAAAGACTGTTGTTGTTTACAAATCGTAGAAGACGCAAAAATACAAGAAAAAGAATGTTGTTAACAGTACATATCACCTGGCGTTAAAATAAACGCTTCTACTTATTATGCTTATGCTAAACAAAATTTAAAACGGTCCATTTACGTTTCAAATAAAAATTTCAAGTTTCTACAAATATTCGTTATGGTCTATCTCAGGCAAGACCAACCTAATGCAGAATAAACGTCTGTTGCACTATATTTTTGGTCGTAATATAAGGAAATATCTATTTATTGTGTCGGTTAATGGTAAAACTATTACATTGTATGATGCTACTATACTGGACCTCAAGTGAAGAAACCAGAATATTTGAATATTAATTTAGGCATAATCAAATTATGGTATAACTCTGATGCCTAGCAGGAGTTTCATCCAAGGTTTCCAGTATTTTAGTAAAAAATATTTTGAGTTCGTCGAGGGCCGTAATAAAGATTTAATTAGACCAATGTTTCGAAAAAAAAAAAGGTAAAGGGTGCCATTACACAAAATTAGACAGAATTTGATGGTGGAGCGGGAAAATCAATAAAATACGACCAAGAATTCAGAACGGCCCCCCGTCTCGTTCACCATATGAATCACCCTGTAACGGATAAGCTCTGACCGCTGCTGATGAGCCAGAAAAGAATCCGAATGACTAAATGGCCTCCGATTCCATTTCCGTCGAGTCGCGACGCGCGGAGCCATCGCTGGCGGTTGAAACGTTTCCCGTGACGTCATCTATGACGCCGCCGACGCGGACGTCGAGCGCCGACGGTCAAGGCGAAAGGACTAAACCGTACCCCCCCGACAGGGTATCAACAATAGCCATTCTACCATTCTACCAATCTTTGTGTGAGTGCAATTTACAAATTTACAAGCACTACATACCTTACTTATCCGCTACTAGACCTAGCAACTATACAGTGTAGTTATTTTAGTGTGCAATATATGAGATTTTTTTTACGAACTGCTTTACTAAAATGCTAATATTGCCAAAAGTTGGTGCATGTTCCATAATCATATTAGGTGCACTTAAAATAATTGCAAGTCAAACAGAGTACACGGTAGGACAAAAGATACAAAAAAATCCTTATTTCAGAAAATTGCTACGAAGAAAAGTTGTTTAGAATTAAAACTGATGGTTTAATAACAAAACAGGATCTACTAAGATATATTTTTTTTAATATTAATAATTTCCTTTTTTTTCAATAATTTTAAATACTGTTGCAAATAATATAACATCAGATCAGTTGAGCAAATATTTGTTCCAATTTCATCTTATTTGTCTAATTAACTAAGATTTTTTAGTTTTTAGAGAAACACGAACTTTAGGTTAGTTGCAATGATATTCTCGCAGTCAAAGCATTGCTAATTATATATTAAGAAATAGTCATTTTACTAGCAAAATTTTTATTTTAAATTATTATTAACACAAAAATTTACTAATCAAGGGAAACATGTAATAATAATTTGTAACTACATAATTTAACAAAATAGGAAAAATAACAAATTTAAACAAATTATGAATAAAAATTTAATTAGAAAGCAGATAAATACATCGGGAAGTGGTAGTGGTAAATTGCTTTAAATTGATTAGTGTTAAATACAAGTAGACGCAACCTTTATACCAGAATTTCAAAAAATCTTCAATCAATGGCTGTGGAAGTTTCTTTGAAAAATAATACTTTTTTATACAAAACTTTAAATACAAATTTTACTATTTAAATATTTCCATTATAATCTGCAACGGTTTGACTACTTAAAAATATTTTTTAAAAAATTTAAATGTTACTAAATGCTGTTGCAATAAACAAATAATATAGAATTTCAACAAAAAATTGCTAAATTGATTTGATTTTAAATGATTCAAAATTATTAAAACAAAAAATTAAAAAGTTATTAATATTTTTCGAACAAAAAACATTTCTTATCTTAATAGGTACTGTCTTGTTATTAAGATCTAAGTTTTAATTTTAAACAACTTTCCTTAATAACATTTTGATTAATTTTTTAAAATAAGGGCACTTTACTCATATGCAATTTTTGAATTTTTTATCCTACCCTGTATGCTGTTTGACTTGCAACTTTTGGCAATATTAGTATTTTAGTTGTGCAGTTAGTAAAAAAAAATCCCATATGTTGCACATAGGGTTCTTCTCTTTGTCTTGATTTTAATAAAGCCATGACCGTAAAATACGAAAACGTTTGATATCCTTGCCTTAGATTTATATAAAAAAAACTTCGAAGTATTTTACTATGGTGGAGTGTAAAAAAAATATAAAAAAAATACTAACTAAACAATATAATAAACTAATTCCGACCATTAAATGTTGAGCCGAAATCAAAAATCCGTAATTAATCATCTTAACTCAGTTAGCCTAGATACTGAATTGACGTTTACACAAACATGTCAACTTAACAAAATGCAAAATATTAGTTTTAACAAATTTAAGTGAACAGTTTGCATCAGTCTGTGAAAAAATGGTTGAAGAAAATTAATGATTTAATGATTAAAATGTGTGATGGGGCAAGTGGCATTATCAAATAGACTGGGGAAAATGGTAGGACCGATATTAAGTAAAAAAGTTCCGAGGGCCTCCTCACTTAGTTACGGATCGTCAAAGAAGGGAGTTAGTTAGAATTTGCATCTGAATGGAATGAAATTGGAAAATCTGCATACAGATTCATAAAAGCGGCTTTGAATTTTATACAATACATAACTTTATTTCAAAAAGTACACCTCGAATCGAATGTAAATGTTTCGGGCGAACGGAAAGCTTTTGTTAACCGAGCGATAGAAAAAAGGAGCTTATCTTGGCGTAAAGAACGAGTGAGTCACAGGAACATTGGAATTCTTTTATTTTTAGTGATGAGTCAAAATTTGATGTGTGATAATTGAAATAAGAACAAAAAATGAGGCTTTCCATAAAGACTGCTTAAAGCGTACTGCAAGTTTTGCTTTCGGGAATTATTCATTTCATAAACAGAACAGTTAACGCAGAGAAGTATCGAGAAATACTGGAAACAAATTAAATTCCTATCATTCAAAAATTGTGTCCACCAGAGAGATTTATTTGTTTGAAAATCATGCTATTCACATTGTGGATTGGATTTCCAGCAGTCATGACGTGAATGTGGTAGAAAAATTGAGAGGATTAAGGTCTAAAATTAAGGAAGTGTGCCAAAGGAATGCCAGAGTCTCGCGAATTGTATGCCTAAAATACTTTTGGCCGCAATTCAAGAAAAAGGTGATATATATTTAGTTATATTTTTATTTTTTTACACTCTACTATAATAAAAAAGTAGTCTAAAGCGAGGATATCCATACTTTTAGTATCCTACAATTATGGCTTTGCTAAAAAACATTTAGACATAAATCCAGAAATAGCCGAATATACGGGGCGGTCCACGATTGATGGCACCATAAATGTTTACGGCGAACAGTACATAGGATTTTTTTGAAAATTTGATTAGTTCCATAAGCGGCGATCAAAAATATTTTTAACGCTGAGATGTTGTCGCTTCTTAGGAAAAAATGGCACCAACATTGAATTTTTAAATGAATATTATTGGATTTTTCGATCCGCTAATACTTTTATTTATTTATTTACCAGCAGTATTTACGTGAAACCAAACAAAACGCAACAAGTACAACATCATCACATGTATCTTACAATAAGTGGCACCTAAATGAAAAAAAATACTATAAGTTTGTTTTTGAATAATACCTTCCTGTACCCATTTTCGGCAGTTTTCGAGAAAATAATTATTTTCTTAATTTTTCCCACCAAAACATAAAAAAAACAAAAAAAAATTATGTAGCTACGTACATATTTTCATTTTATAGGAAAATATAAAAAATAAACACTAATACAGGGACTAAAAAACGAAAGAAACTAAACTAACCAAACTAAAAATTTATCTATCTATTACAATATACTTTATTCTTTTTGAGTAAAAAAAATCGTTATTTTTGTTTGTTTATTTTTTCTCAATTCAAATTTCATATTCTCCATGTGCTTTTCAACCTTCCAAAACCTTCGCATAATATCATCCTATTATCGCTAGATTGCAAAAAAATATGTAACAATTTTAGCAATACAAAGCGCTTCAGAATAACTTAGTACTTCGTCCTGTTGTTTGAGGTGTTTGAGGATCATTTGGCTGTAAAACTTCAGTCATAATATCATTATCCGTTAATAACTCCGTTGTTATTAAATTATAAACAGTTGGGAAGCTATCCAACTCAGGAAGAAGAATGTTGGTAAGATCTTGGCCGCTATTGCGCAACCAACTACTTAGGAGAACCTTCCAGTCATCGTCGTTACTGAACCACATGTAAGTCATCGTCTGAATCTGATTTTATCAGACCTGCATGCTGAAAGCAGTTTGAAATAGTGGTTGAAGTAACATCATTCCAATATTGTCCAAACAATAAACCTGTAGAACAACTAAAATCATCACCCTGTAATCCCATGGCTAACGCTTCGACTTTACATTTCACAACTGGACCACTTTTCGGATCTTCGAACTTGAAACCATGGTAAAAAAGCTTTATCTAGATCTGAACGTACAGGATTTCTATTTTTTTTTTAATCCTGTGCGATTTACAGTCACTTGTTTTCTTGATGTTTTTGCGATTACTCCAAATTGTAGATATTATTGCTTTTGCCTATTTCTTTTGTCTAGTAATTGCCGCCTTACCGATCCTACAGTTACAGTTAAAGACTTGTGCCGATTCGCTATTTTAACCATAAACTCAAAATAGTGCTAGCGCACCTTTCCATAGAACAATAAAGTTTCAGAAAAAACTTCGCAAATGATTACTGAAAAATCCCCGGTTTTAGCGTCCACTTGTACTTTACAACCAGAACAATAGTGAAAATATTGTACGTTATAACCGTAGTAGAAGTTATATATGGTACGTAATATCCGATGAAAAATCAAGGGTATTTTGGTCGAACCAGTAAAATATGTACGTAATACCCGGAAGTACGTTATATCCCATGTACGTTAGAAACGGAGTTTACTGTATATAGTTGGTCAAAACGTTAATTTGCCCATCAGATACAAAAATGGCGAAAACTGCATTTTCTTAAATGGAACACCCTGTATATTATCACATATTCTAAGAGCAAATTAAATTCCTTTTGATGTATCATGCCTCTAGACCTAAATCGTTTAGCTTGTGGATAATTGATTTTCGGTTTTGAGAGTACAAGGTGCGAATTTGACTTGTTCTATAGGTTTATTGGAATGATATTACTTCAACCACTATTTCAAACTGGTTTCAACATGCAGGTCTAATAACATCCGAAGATGCGTTTGATTCAGAAAATGACTCACCTCTGGTTCAGTGGTTCGAGATGTACAACAATAATGACAAAGAGGAGAGGGTGGTTCCCCTAAGTAATTCGTTGCGCAATAGCGGCCAAGATCTAACCTACATTGAAATGTATCTTCCTGAGCTGGATAGCTTCCCAACTGTTGATGATAATTTAATAACAACGGAGTTAGTTATTAACGTTTAATGATATTATTACTGAAGTTTCCCAATGCTCTGGTAACGAAAGCGACGATGATGTTCAACAGGACGAAGTACCAAGTTATTCTGAAGCGCTTTGTATTGCTAAAATTGTTACAAATTTTTTTGCAATCTAGTGATAATATGATGATATTATGCGAGGGTTCTGGAAGGTTGAGAAGCATATAGAGAATATGAAATTTGAATTGAGAAAAAATAAACAAACAAAAATAACGAATTTTTTTTCTCAAAAAGAATAAAGTATGTATTTTTACTTGAATGTTGTAAAGTATATATAGATACATAAGTTTCTAGTTTAGGTAGTATAGTTTCTTTCGTTTTTTAGTACCTATATTAGTGTTTATTAGTTTTATAATTTTATATAAAATAAACCTACATTTTTTTGTTTTTATAGCGTACTTATTAATTAATTGGAATAGGAATACAATTTTACTTGACATGACAAGTATTATCGTAGCCTTTAAACTAATTCCGCTTCACTTCCTCCTTGAGGGCGCCCATGACACTCCAACCGCAATAAATAATAATAATGAAGAGTTTCAGTGCTTTACGTTGATAACACTAACATTAAAAATATTATATCCCGAATTAAACTTGATAGCGCAAAGGACCAAGAAAGTCAAACAACCGGCACAGCCAGATACTGTTAAAGCCCAAAATTTAGCATTAAATAAAAGTAACTGACATTGATAGCTCTATGCACGGCCGACTAACAATACAAACATATTTTCGCATTTTCCATTACAAATATTGACAAATATATATGTCTGAAAAGGACTTGACACATTTTTAAGACCATAGGCAACTATGATTGCCATACAAAATAAAAGTTGTATTCATTTAGGAGAAAGCGGAGAACTGTAGTAAAAATCGCCAATGCATTTGTCTTTAAAAAATGCCCTATTAATGTTTTTATCCGAATCCAAAATTTTCATAAATAAACAACTTATGGGCAATTTTCAAAAGGGCCGAAAATTGAAAAACGCAGTATATCTCGATTAGTAGTGGTTTTAATCATGTTTCTCAAAGATCAAGGCCTTAACATGCAAGTCGTTTTTACTCTATCTAGTTCAGAAATAGTTTTCTTTTTCTGTTAAAACACTCAATTTTGAGACATATGTTTACAGATAAAAGACACCATTTTCTTTTGGGAAAACATTTAGTTATCAATTATTTTTATAACTGCAAATAATAGTTTGTTAATTTACGAATTGTATTTTCTGCAAGTTGCTATTATATTTGGTCACTGTAAGATTTTTATGTTTTTCAATTTACTAAAAAATTTTTAATAAATCACAAATAATAATTAGAAAGGAACAGTTTTTGCTATTTAAAGTAACATTAATGTTCAAAATTGTTTATATAATAAAAATGCAATATTTGCTGTTTTTTTTAATTTCCATGAACATATTCTGAAAATTTTATGCATTTAAATGCGCACGTAATGGGGTTTTTCGCTTTCATTTTTTCCGCTCCTATAACTAAATTTATAGCGTGATTTGCCCAAAATGTACTAATATACCAACGCAGAAACGCACACGTTCATCAGATCCACTCTTTAAAGGATTCGAGGTGTTGGTCGAAACCTTAACGCAACCGTTGGCGCAAAGTCCACGCCCGTTTTCGATAAGTAAATCATAACAAGTCGAGAGGCGACGTTGCCGTGATGTCGTTTTCGTCGGGAAACGCCCGGTGGCATTCCCAAAAAAATATTAAAAATGAAATCCCAATAAAAAAATTCAAATACAATATAAAAGAAGTTATGTCATTATTTTTGACATTTTACGGTTAAGCTTGTAGTCGATTTTTTTTGCTTAAAACTAAGTTACAATCTTTGTACTAAGTATTATAATTATAGAAATTATTTAGTTTTAAATTCAGAAAAGTTATCGAGATACAGTATAGACTCGATAATCCGGATAAGTAAAAGAATCCGAATCATCGACATTTCAGTTTTTATACAAATACAACATAAAAAACACTAAAAACTTTATTCTTAAAATCTTGTCAAAGTCAAATATAATGTAATGTGAAATAACAGAAGGATACTAAACCATAGCTAGCAACAAGTGCGGTAAACGAGTGAGTTAAAAAGTTTACCGAGCGTGTTGTATACTATACTTTTTCTACCACCGTTAGTTTTTGGTTAGTTTGGTAAATTTTCGCAAAACAACACGAATACATTCACTGACATGACCGTCAGAATTGACAAACGTCAAAATTCAAAGCGTGTAACTTTATTTCCCATATATCCCAGCCACTTCGAACATTTCCGGGATTTTACCGCACGGATTTGGGAGCATATCAAGTCGTAAATCTGGTTTTAGAACTTTTGATATAAGGTGTACCTTACCTCTGCTCTCCTCTCTAATAATTTACACATTAAAGATATTAACCTTCCAGTAGCAATGAGGCCGAAAGCTGCCACTGTGGTCCTTCCTTAGATTCAAAATATCACTGACCACATATCAAAAGTTCTAAAGAAGTATAACGTCAAAACCAGATTTACCCCTTGGCCAAAAATCTCTCAGCATCCGTCAAAGACAAAATTCCATTTGAGATGCCAGCCTTCCATGCATATGCGGCAAAGAATACGTTGGAGAGACCGGACGAAAAATATTAACTACGCTCAAAGAACACGAAAGAGCCTCACGACTAAGACAAATAAACTTATCAGCTGTTGCCGAACACACTCATGAAACC